TAGGACCTATCCAGCGTAAGTAGAAATGAAAAAGTAAAAATGAAAAAGTAAGTGCGTAAATGATATTCCATCAAAATTTATTACATCTAAATAAATAAACTCTGCATTCGAAATTAATAGATGAATATAATATGTCCGTAGTCTAATCTGAAAAGTATAGGCACTAACAAACAATTTAGTTGGACTACTTTTGATTTTCACCCAACATTAGACGGACTATCTCGAACCACGTTTTAACTCTCACCATCTGCATTTCCTGCAAACACATACGCATCAAAGCTAAATGCACATACAATCCCGAGATTAAACCCCCCCCTCCCCCCCCCCCCCCCCCAAAAAAAAAGGCAATGCACAAACTGTCTTACATCAGGCAATATTTGTTGTTAAATTACGTAAACACAAACACTCCATTCCTCTCACGCTCACACCTAACACAACCAAGTACCCGAATAACTATACAGAGTGTGCAAATACAACATGTCTAACACGCACACACCTTTAAATGCTAATAGCAAAAGAACAGCAGCGGCGTCTGAAATGCACGACGACCTAACACCAGGTCAAAAGCGTATGTGCACACACCCCATTCAACTTAGACATACCTAACTATGCAATCACCCATACCAGGTCAGAAGCATATGCACACATACTTCAATACTGTCACGCATACCCCTTAATAATGCAAAAAAAAAACTAAATAACAAATGCAACAGTTGATACCTGTCACAAACATCTTTGTGCACAGACTCCATTTCTCTTATGCACACACCTCAAATAAAAATTCCAACCAACCCCCACACAACACAAGGATGTTAGCCCCCACACACACAAACCGAAAAAATGAAGAAACAACAACTGCGCTTGAATAGTGGCCCATATATAACGCGCTTCCACACGGATATGATTTGTCCACACGGACTCATGGGAAGGGGTGGTCTCACTTGAATAGTGGCCATATATAACACGCTTCCAGCCAACATGCATGCAAATTATCATCTGTCTCAAACTGATGCACCTTAAGATATGAAACTACGCACCTTAAGTTATAAAATGACGCACTTTAAGCTATAAAACTACGCACCTTAAGTTATAAAATGACGCACTTTAAGCTATAAAACTACGCACCTTAAACTAGAAAAGTGACACACCAAGCTTTAAATATGCGCACCTTAAGCTATAAAACTACGCACCTTAACCTTAGAACTTAAGCACTTTAAATTAGAAAATGACGCACCTTAAGCTTTAAATATACGCACCTTAAGCTATAAAACTACACACCTTAAGCTTTAAATATACACACCTTAAGCTATAAAACTACACACCTTAAGCTATATCGTCGAGCTTGAAATCTGTCTCATCGAACTCTTCAAACACATCGAATCCTCCCTTCTTATGCTCGGGCCAGGCGGGCACATTCACCAAACGCCGTTGGAATTCGGTTTGGAGTTGACCTGAGAGATTATCTTGGCGGCAGAGGCCAGCGGCAGAGAGGGTAGGGTTTAGAGTGGATTTGCGACGGACGAGGCTAGAAATCGTTGTCTTGAAGTGGTTGCAGGACCAAAAGAGGTTGCTTTCGTCGATCTCGAGGTGGTCGGCTTTGAGAAGAAAGATGAGAGGAGAAAAAAATTTCAACGTAAAAGACAAGAAACGGAGTAGAAGAAAAGAGGAGGAGCAAATGACAAAATTGCCCTCAAGATTTTATCCATTAAAAATTTTCGGCGACTTTTCGCAGGCAATTTGGTTGGATGGACTAAAATTGAGAAAAAATTGAATAGTTATGGTATTAAATTGACAATTTTTTCGACTATAAACCAGGCCGGACTTTAATTTTCATTTTTCGGACTGGGCTAAGCCCGGTCAAAAATATAATCAAACCAGGCTAAAAAATAAGCGGACCAATGACGAGCTGGCCAGGCCGGTTCAAGCCCTTCCATTTGACACCTCTATCTAAATTACACTTTTCCTTGTCAAAATTTAGTTACGCCTATTCCTAATAGTATATTAACTTGTATTTTCTGATATACTAAAGAACTATAAGCAACTTAGCGGCATTAAAATTATACAACAAACATAGGTAATGCACTATTTATAGAGAGCTAGAATATGGCACAACTTGATATAATTAAGTATTGTTTCATGAGTGTAGGCATTTGGTGCATCATGGATATGATAGTGCTTTTCAATATAACAATATTGGAACGTGTAACTAGTAAAAGTTTTAAAAAGCTGTGGAGTTTGGACAGATAAGTAGCATATAGAACAAAAGTATTCACATAATGACCATAAAAAGGTAGGGGTAAAGATAAAACATATATCCTTTTCTTCTTTTTTTTCCTGTCTTTTTCTTTTCCGTTGCTTTACTTTCTCTCTTTCTTTTTATCTACTTTTGTTTTTTAATGGAACAAAAAAAGTAATTCCTATAAATTCATTAGTAAAATATCAATAACATCTTGGATCTATTAGTAGAGATTTAAATTTTTGGTCAAATATATACAATCAAAATAAGATTTTCATTTCCTATTTGTCATTTTATTGTTTCAATTTCCTTTCACTTTTCTTGGTTGGGGAAGTATAAAGCTAGCATTTGAGGATGCCTAGGAATAGATAGAACATGCTACATCCAAAAATACACTTGACATGCATAAAGATCCCAATACAATTACCAGGGAGGAAGCGCACTTACCTAGGTTTTTAGATTGTTAAGGACAACCAAAAATAAAATAAATAATAAAAAAATATAGCTGAAGGATGTTGGAAGGTCTGGATTGGATTTCTTGTGCGCGCACATTAAGACTAGATAGGATTTGACTGGTGAGTTGATTGCATGACTTGCGATCTACTTCTATAGTGGATCTGATTGGTGAGCTGATTGTGTGGATCATGATCCAAAACAACGTCGTTTTGATGTTAAAAAAAAATTCCTTGATTTGCGTGCGTGTTAGAATAATGAACATTATAGTGTAAGATAATGTATTTTATGAGTTAGAATAATGTGCTTTATGTGTTAAAATAATGTACTTTATATGTGTTAGAATAATGTATTTTATGAATTAGAATAATGTATAATGTACTTAGAATAATGAAATTCCTAGGGTAAGATAATTATTTTATGAGTTAGAATAATGTACTTTATATGTTAGAATAATGTATTTGATAAGTTAGAATAATGTACTTTATATGTTAGAATAATGTATTTGATAAGTTAGAATAATGTACTTTATGTGTTTTGGACCGTGGTCCATATAGCATGGTCCACACAATAATGATTGGAGCAGGGTTCTGTGAGCTTAGAATTAGTCTAGCGAAGTTAAGATCACCAAAGTTTATAATCCTATATATAATAAAGCCATATGGTCTTGTGAAAATTAAATGGAGATAATCAACATTTAATTTACACAAGACCATAATAATATTGTTATTGTGAAAATTAAATGTTGATAATCAACATTTAATTTCACAAAATCATAATAATATTGTTAATTATAATAACAATAATAATAATAATAATTGCAATAATAATAATAATGATAATAATTTCCACGGACAGTTTCTAATATATATATATATATATATATATATATATATATATATATATATATATATATATATATTTATTTATTTATTTATTTACTTATTTATTTATTTATTTATTATATTTATTTATATTTCAATTTCTACTGGCAAATTATTGTGAGGAACGATGGTCCACATAATTGTATGGATCATGAATATCAAATACATTTTTAATATATTAAAAATACATTAGTTTTATATTGAAAGTACCTTACATACATATATAATGTACCCTTAGTGTATTTAAAATATACTTTTTTATTGCATGCAACCTCAAAGTTCATAAGTTTGAAATTAATATATGGCATAGCTAGGCGGCCTAATATTTAAGATGGTTGATGTGCATATTGAGGACTACGGAGACAAAGATGCGTTATTCGTGGATTCATCGGATACTATCCAACAACACTCTCCAACTTAATTGACGTGAAGTGGCTTAGTAACATTAAGATTATATTCTCGAATTATTAGTTCTCATCTTTTATTGATTACACACTTAATTCGATAGTATTTGGAAGAAAAAATCAATATTCGAACTAAGATTGTGATTTTGGTCTTTAAAGGTCAATTGTATGTTGCTACATCTAGAGTTAGAAATCTCAAAGGTCTAAAAATTTTGATCCGTGGTGACTCTAAAATTGTAATTCAATTACTATTGAAGTTTACTAAGTTCTTAAAAATTTGTAATATTAAATACTATGTACTAAATTTTTAATATAGTTTAAGATTTGTAGTAATCACCCACCTTAAATATTATTTTAATTGTAAATATATTTATGTTCATAATTTTATCATAGGAATTCACACATAATAATTATTAAATAACAAAAATTTTATATATGAATAAACCTCATATAGGGTATATTTTTATAACATATTTTCCGTGCATCGCACGGGACAAATACTAGTAATAATAATAATAATAATATGATAGAGCCCGCATGGGTAGCTCAACTGGTCATAGAGGTGAAACTTTGGAAGAATGACCAGGGATTGAGTCTCACCAGCGGCAGTGTGGGAGCAACCTCTCAAAGTGAGGGGGGCTCCTTGTGAGCAATGGTCTAGCCTGTGATTAATGTTCAGTTGAGACACCATGATTTACAACCTCCCACTGCTTTGTCGGGTCGGGGTGTGGGGGGCCCTGTGATTAATGTTCAGTTGAGACACCATGATTTACAACCTCCCACTGCTTTGTCGGGTCGGGGTGTGGGGGGCCCTGGGGGCCCTGTGATTAATGTTCAGTTGAGACACCATGATTTACAACCTCCCACTGCTTTGTCGGGGTGTGGGGGGCCCTGACACCATGATTTACAACCTCCCACTGCTTTGTCGGGTTGGGGTTCTTCCTTTTGGAAGAATAATAATATGATAGAAAGGAAGCCTCTTCTCTCTCTTATCCTTTCTCTAAATGCATAATAATTAGCATAAACAAAAATAAATAGCATTTTTTTATAAATTTTCCTGGAAAGGAATAGTATAGTAATACAATAATACAATTGATTTAATTAGAGGTGGTAAAGAGAGCTACTTGTAACGAGAATAAACAACAATTTATGTCCCGATTGCATGAGAGTAAAAGAATGGGAAGGACTAAGGACATCCCTTTTTTTCAAATTCCACCTTTCTCCTTTTGTTGCTTTCTGTCTTTGTTGTCTCCTTGTCTTTCTTTACCTCTCTTTCCTTTCCTTGTCTTTTTCTTTTTTCTTTTTTTCTTTTTTATTTTTATATAAAACTTTTTGTGCTCTACTTTGATTTTATGAGTGGGCACCTGATTCTCTTTTCACCAGTCCCCCCATCAGTCAAAAGATTATAATGATTTCAAAATGAGTAGTTCTACTACACTACATACTTCAATTCTTGCACCCACCAAGACATAGAAGATATTCTACTCTTCTTCTTCTTCTATTATATTATTATGATTATGATTATGATGATACTTTGTTTCAGAGCTGATCTGATGATGAGGGCCTCCCTAAAGTGAAGTCAAGATTTGGCTTCTTTGGGCTTGTCTCTGTTATGGTTGATGAGCTCACCTCTGCTGATACCCTATCATAGCTCAAACACTTTGCTTCCATGTCTTTCTGCAACACAAGGCATGTGTGTGTGTGAGAGTACTATATACAAAAGAGAATCTCAAGGACAAGTTGACCAAATGAATGAATACCCACAAAGGAATATGTATACATATATCCAGCAGTTCATTTGTCACAATGCAGGTTGTTTGTATAATAATAAGCCATTTTTGTTTTTTCTCATTTTGAATTTGCTAATGTAGTATTCTTAATTCTTAAGGTAAATGCAAAGAACAGAATCTTAAGCATGTTTGCAGTGTGATGACATATCTGTTACCAATCCAGATGAGTGGTCATAGGATAAAACCTTAGTGGGGACATTGATTATATATCTGGGCTGAGAAAGATTGAAAAAAGTATAGAACAGATATTACATTATAAAGAATCATGAGTGTTTCATCAGAAAAGAATTGAAGCAGCATTTGACTAAAGCAGTATATATAAAGAATGGTGATACCATACTTTATTTATTTATTTTTTTTTTTATGACTGGTTCAGTCTTCCAGCTTTACTCTAAAATTTGACCCAACTTAATATTAAAAATGAGCATCCTATCCTGGCTTTAGTTTACAGAATCTTTTCTTTTAATTCCTCATCTTTTTGTATCTACATGTGCATGTGTGGCTGTGGGCAGTTCATTATATTGCCCCTATGCTTGACATAAAGAACTTGAAAAGATGTGATGATGAGGAGGGTAATATGGTAATTACAAGAATGATTAAACTATTTAATTAATAATAAAGTGTAGACTATACTATACCTCAAGAGAAGGCATGTTCCCTCTATTGTGACTTGGGTTGGAATGCAGCCAACTTTCCCTACTACGTAACAGAATATTTGCTATCAGTGGAAGCCATGCATGCAGGAGAGAAAGGAGGAAAAGAAAAGGGAAAATAAAGCAGACTCAGAAAAGAAACCCATCTTTTTTACTGTCTTATTATTGCTATTATTATTCGTTTTATATTTTTCATAACTCACATATATATATATATATATATATATATATATATATATATATATTATATTCTTTGTTCTTTTTATGACAGATAAAGTTGGAGGTACTGAACCCACCCACCCACCCATGTGATACCCATGAGAACAAACACTCTACCTTGAAGAAAGCTTCAAATAGGAAGGGTTGATCTAATAGCTTGTTCTTTGGAACCAAGATTTCTACAAATGGGGCCATCAGAATATTTTGATTAGGGTTTAACTTTGGGACTAAGTCTTCCTATTGGGTCCCCCTTCAAATGGCAAATTATACCCCAGACTAGGGTCCACCTTGTATTGTGGACCCTGGTCAAAAATAACATTTAGATTATAGGCCTGCAATTAACCTATTATGTATCCGTAGTAAACATATTATATGCAAGTGATAAATTGAATGTATATAATATATTAACTACACGCACATAATATGTTAATTGTAGTAAACACACAATCTGTTAACTACAGTTACATAATTTGAAAGCTATTTTGGACTAGGGTCTAGTCATATAATCGGTTAACTGTAGACACATAATCCAAATGTCATTTGGGACTAGGATCTATAATGTAAGGTGGATCCTGGTCCATGGTATAATAATTCCCTTCAAATACCACATTATTAAAAAAATCCTTATAGTTACACTCCATCAATTTAAATTTAATATTCTAATTTAAAATCTTTTACTCTATGTTGTATTCATTATTTTTTCTTGTGCATATATATATATATATATATATATATATATATATATATATATATACACACACACTCCATCAATTTAAATTTAATACTTAAATTTAAAATCTTTTACTCTATGTTGTATTGATGATTTTTTCTTGTGCATATATACTGTTGTAACAAATATAGCACACAATAGAATACTTTAATATTTATAAACCAATGTATGTAGTTAAACAAATCCAATTCTTTTTATACTCTACACTGGACTTACTTTTTAACCACTACCCAAAGGGATTATTAATACATCATGGAGTTTCTGTGTCTAACAAGTTCTAGACAAACAGAATATATATACATAGGAATGACATCAATAGTTCTCTTCAATTTTTAACTTTTATGATCTTAAATCCTTATAGCTAGTAGCTTCATATATGCTCCAACTTAGAATATAATCACTTTTCAGTCAGCGATTCTCCTCCAAAGTACACAATTTTCAATTTTTTTTTTTACACATGAAAATAATAGAGATTGAAGCTAACACATATTAAGTTGAACCTCAAACTAAAGTTATTTATAATTCAAAATTTTATTATAAGTTTAATATTAGTATATAAAATTTATATATTTAGAAACAACATTCAAACTAGAAGTAAACACAAAAAAGAAAAATTAAATTTAAAAAGTAAAACTACTAAAGAAAATAAACAGAAAAGATGGTTTGATTAATGAATATTAAACAAAACAATAAAATAGGACATGAGAAGTATTAAATATTACTCAAAAGTTATATCATGTACTAGATTAAATATTACTCAATAGTTATATCATGGATCAGGGTGCATGTAGCAACATGTACTTCAAGCATCAATATTTTTTAACCTTATTTTTTTTCTATTTAATTTTTTTTCTCTTTTTCTTTTTGTACAAACAATATTAATTTAAATCTTTTAAATGACACTCATATTGATATATTTTTAATTATCTTTAAATCTTTATGTGCATAAAGTCATTATTTTAGTGTTATGTTTATATATATTAACCTTTGCTTTTGTGAACATATATAAAAGAGAACATTATGAACATAATAAATGTATGAGCATAAAAATATTATGAGCATGTTACAGAATAATTGTTTTTATGTATATTAAGCTTTGTTGTTTTATTAATATATTGAAGAAATATTAAGAACATACGAAAGAGTAAATAAAAATAGTAATGATATACTTGAAGCTTAGTGTTTATGTACCCTGGTGTACGATATAATTTACCAATAGCTTAGTACTTAAGGTAGCTCATGAAGTACTCTTAGGAGGGGTGTATTAGTAGGAAATAATAAGTTTTTGTATACTTGTAGACTTTCAAAGACTATAAAAATATAAATCGAATACCAGTATACTTTTAAAGACTTTTGAAAAGTTTGAATCGAATACTGGTAAACTTTTAAAGAATCTTTAAAAGTCTAAATTTAATACCACTAAACTTTTAAAGTAGTTAAAAATATTTAAAAGTCTTTAAAATTCATGATTAAATACACCCCTTACTATTTCCCTTCCCACCCCACCCAAGTAATAAATGAATAAATCACAAACACCAAAAATATAAGTAGTTTATTACCTCGATGAGTTGCTCCAAAGCGCATGATGATAATTATCAATATTGTCTTGATTACTATGAATATTTGTTCTTCGCTGTTGAACTGAGAATTCATCAGACTTCCTTGAGGTTCGAATGTCAAGCGTCAAGTCTTCAGATGTTTCCCCAGACGACCCATTATCAAAGACCTCCGATTGGCCTAAGTGAACAAAATATTCCATATACAACTTAAATGTGAAATATAGATAAAATTTTGGGATGTTTACTTTAATTATAGAGTTAATACCATTTGGAGTCCGAGTATAGTGATTTTGTCACATTTAGTCTTAAACTTCAAATTAATCACTTGTAATTCTTCGACTTTCAAATTGTTACTATCTGTGCTCCAAATTAACTATTCATGGTCAAAGTTAACTATCAATGGTCCTTCAACTATTAAATTTTAACCAGACATCGTCCTTCCAGCAGGACCATAACTGGTTAAATTTTAAAAGTTGAAAGACCATGGATGGTTAACTTGGACAATGAATAGTAACGATTTGAAATGTTGAAGAATCAAAGGTAGTAAATTTGAAAGTTTAGGATTAAACGTGACAAAATTAGTATACTTAAAGAACATGGCATTAAGTAGTTCTCTTAATATAATAATAAATTAATAATCACAATTCAATCAAGCAAAAGAGGTCAACCTGAAGTAGCTGCTGCTGCTTTATCTGTAGTCTTTACCGTGCGATACATCTGAGGAAACAAGAAAATTATTAGGTGACATTGCATATATACATCTATGTACATATAGGTGGCTAATGTAAAATCTTTAATACGGATATGCCTAATTAAAAAGCTAGCTGAATGTTGAAAACTAAAAAAATGAAAAGCTAATAGTTGTTAATCAGACAAAGCTTATAGTTTATTTGTAGTTTAAAATAAGCTATATGCTTTAAAATAAGTAATTACGGGGAAAAGGGTAACATGATGAATGACTTTTACATGTGCCCGGTACAATGTATGCATATGTATGTGTGCATAATGTATGTATGCATTGCATACATACACATACATGTACATGTATGTATGTATGTCCTAGTGTTTTTAACCATGGTTTTTGGGGACAGTGAATCTGTAAAACCTCAAAGAGATACAACTTACAAGGATATCATTGAGACATCATAGTGTTTTGTACTTTCTCACTACCTGCCACTTTCTCTGTAATATGTTACACATTTTCTTTTAAAAAATTAATACTAACAAAGAAAAGAAGAACTGTATCTAAACTTGTCTTGGCATAACTATTATATATCTATCTCTTGCTCTGTCTTATTTGCTTGATCTGATTGCATTATTATTGATGAATCATTATACACCTCTCTCTCTCTCTCTCTCTCTCTAGTTTTTACTCCCAACATGGATGGATGGTCCATTCTCCAAAGCAAAAAAAGCTGAAACAATAGCCTACAGAAACCATCAGATCTAGTGGGAAAAGATTTGCTAATAAGGGTTTGAGACACCACTCTTTCTTTTACTGAAAATTTGCAATTAAAAAGACTTTCTTTAATAAAAAAGAAGGAACATTGGAATTTGAAATGTCTGTAGAAATTTACACCCTTTCAACCAATGTAGTCTGTACTTTCCAATAACTCCAAACAATAAACTTTTAACAGAGAAATTAATTAAAGAAATTAAAATTAAACCCAGCCTTTAATTTTACCTGTAAATGGGATTTAACATGTGCCAAGGTGAGATCTTTAACATCCATTAGCTCAAGAACCGATTTGGGTGTTGCTCCTAGCCAAAAAATAGAAATACCCAATCCACAAAAATTAGGAAAATTAGTAATTATTAGCTAAAAAGTTGGAAAATCATGAAAGAAAAAGAATATTAAAATATGAAGTTTACTTACTTTCATGACCACCCAAGAGCTCAACGGCGTGAATGAATCGAGCATGGAGAGTGCTAGTCCATCTCATCCTCGGAGCTCTCATGCTCCGTTTAGCCGGAAACCTCGACGACGACAGAAACCTCGACCGCATTAGCCCCGCCGAGGTCTGATGATGATGATGCTGGTGGGCACCAGAAGATGACGATGTAGCAGTAACACTATTATTGTCAAAGGGAATATGGGGAAAAGGGAAAGGATGAGGGGAATTGGAAGAAGGGGTTTGGTAGTAGACTGGGATTCCTCTAATGGGCCTCAAGAACCCAAAATCCGGCCCAGTTTGCTGCTGTTGCTGCTGCTGATGATGCTGAAAGAGATGGTGATGATGGTGATGAGAGTAGAGATTGTTTTGGTGGATGGTGTTAGGAGGATGATAATGGAAGATGTTGGTGTTATTAGAAGGGGGAGAAGAAGAATGGGTTGGGTGATTAGAAAGTGAAAGGTCGAAATTGCAAGAAGGTTTGTTGCTAGAGAAAGATTGGATAGAGTGGTTCTTGGTGTCAAGAGCTCTTTTCCAGAACCCCAAATCCATCTCATGATGATTACTGTCTTCTGTTATCTTCTGCTGTTTGGTTGTTGGTGGGCTGATCTGCAAGGATAAGTCTGGCTGTGCTGGGAATAACTCCATCCTCCTCCTATCCTCCTTTCCTCCAACTACTATTCAAGCACAGCCAGAATTCCTCCTCCTTATTCCTCCTCCCTATCTAGGTTTTTACTTATCCTGGGTTAAGGTTAATTATCAGTTTGAATACTAAAAAGTATGGGTTTCTTGATTTTCAGCTGGAGAAAGAGAGAGAGAGAGAGAGAGAGAGAGAGAGAGAGAGAGAGAGGAAATTTGGGTTTGTTTTTGATGAAGAATTGAAGAGAGCAGTTGTGTGTAGGGATTTGAGATACGTGAGAGAGAGAGGGAGAGAGAGAGAGAGAGATGAAATGGCCTGGCAGAGTATGAAGCAAATGGTGGTGTTGTTTCTTTTGTGTGAAGTATATGTGAGAAAATGACACTTGAAGATGGTATTGGTATGGGTGTGTTTGGGGTTGTGTGGGTAGTAGGATGAGAAAAGGGGGTGACCAAAAAGATGAGAAAAAAGGAAAAGTAAATAAGGTTTTGGAGACTTTGATTCCTTTAAACTCCTTTCTTTACCTAGCTCCTTTTCCCCCGGCCCTTTGATTTCTTTGGGGAAGGCAAAATATGAAAAAGGAAATTTTAGTGTAAGCTTTTGTATAGCATTTATATTTGTGTCTATCAACAAGCTAGTCACATTTACCTTTCTAACCAACACTCTACCCTCAAAGTACTCTAGGAAGGCGTTTATTAACCAGGAAAGTTTGAATTTTCTTGGGGATTTAAAAGCTGGAAAAATTACTCTCACGTTTAGTGTAATCTTTGATTTAGAAAAGTTTAGGTTAATAGGAATCACATTCCATGATATCAAGAAAAATAAACAAAACCTAAGGGGTGAGATTCTTTTTCTTCGCTTACAAAGAATTTGTCAACTTTATTCAATTACATATTTATCATTTTTTTGGTGTCATACTGACATGTTAAAAATCTTTTATAAATATAAGAAATTTGACTCTTCCACCATTACACATTCTTTATCAAAATATTAAAATACGAGTTAATTCCATTTTTGATCCTAGATTTATAGGTGACAGTTCACTTTTAGTCATTTTTTATCAGAAATCCACATTTGGTTCTAATATTATTGTGGTATGACCATTTTTGGTCTTCTATCAACACAACAATTTTAATGTCGTTAAATACAAAGTCATTTCAGTTTTCAATTATGAATTTTCAAAATAAACATAAAAATATAGCAGGGTCAACTCACTTTGTATAAAAATGATTGAAATGTCTTTGTATTTAACGACATTTCAACGATTTTATTAACAGAGGACCAAAAATGGAACCTGATTTCATTAATAGAGAACCACAATAATACTAGGACCAAATGTAAATGCTCTGATAAAAAAATGATTAAAAGTGAACTGCCACCTATAAATCTAAGACAAGAAATGGAACTAACTCTTAAGATACATAGTTAAAGTTTTTCAGTTTTTCGTATGTAATCTGATTTGTAATTTGATTAGGTCTGCAATGCTACATATATTATATTTGTGTATGCCTTACGTGTGTGTGTGTGTGTGTATATATATATATATATATATATATATATATATATATATATATATATATATATATATATATATATATATATATATATAGTGAAAGGTTCCCGTGCGGATGTGTGGTGGATTAATGTGCGTGAGATTTGTACTCAATGTGCGTGAGTGTTGTGCTTAATGTGCTTGAGATTTGTACTTAATGTGCGTGAATGTGTAAAATGCAGCAGAAAATATTGATGTCAGCTTCTTCCCCATCCCCAGTAGCCATTGCCCCCTCCCTGATGATGATGATGCGGAGGCGGGCTATGGTGGTTAAGAATTATGGGAATAATACAACAGAAATCCACACTTAGCTGCTGTGCAAATTTTACTGTGCGTGCGTCATCTATATAAACATTCAACTGCACTGAAGGTAGCTGATAATCCAGAATCCATGGCCAAATTGAAGGAAGAAGTAACAAGAAACTTGGGCGTTAATGTGCGTGAGTTTCTGTTCTGCTTCCTTCCGAGCTCGTAATTATGAAATACTCACGCATATTAAGCACAATCTCACGCACATTAAACACAATACTCAGGCACATTAAGTACAAAACTCATGCATATTAACATGGCGCACATTAAGTACAAATCTTAGGCACATTGAGTACAAGTCTCACGCACATTAAGTATAAACCTCACGCACATTAATCCACCGCACATCCGCACGGGAAGCCACAAATGCACCTGATCTCTTCCCTATATATATATATATATATATATATATATATATATATATATATATATATATATAGACACACACAAGGGATCGGGTGCGAAGCTTCTCCTAGGTGAAACGTGCGGATTAATTACAGCCTTTGATATTGCCAAAAGCAATAGCCCAGAATGAAGAACAATTAAAAAAGTGCGGTGGCATTATGGTCATTTTGTGTAAGGACACAACTTAAGGTGCATAAGTTTAAAGCTTAAGGTCCGTAAGTTTATAGCTTAAGGTGCATAAGTTTATAGCATTAGATGCCTAAGTTTAAAGTTTAAGGTGCAAAAACTTAAGGTGCATAAGCTTATAACTTAAGATGTGTAAATTTATAGCGTAAGATGCGTATGTTTAAAGCTTAAGGTGCGTCATTTTCTAATTTAAGGTGCATCTGTTTAACTCTTATGGTGCGTATGTTTAAAGCTTAAAGTTCATTATTTTCCAGCTTATGGTGCATAAGTTTGAAACTTAAGGTGCGTCAGTTCAAGACGCTTTGATCATTTGCATCCATGTTGCCAAGAAGCGTTTTCTTTTTTTTTTCTTTTTTTTTTTTTTTTAACTTTCCTTCCGTTTGAGCCGTTAATCTAGATTAGATCAATAGCTCAGATCTAACCCCAATTTTCACATGGGAGAAGCTTTCCACGTGAACCATCCCAACGGACAGCACAAATGCATGTTAGGATGCTCCTAAGTTGGGATGCATTCTTTGCATGGATGCTGCACGGGCGTTCGACTGCCCATGCGTAAAACAGAATGCCCAGATTTTTGTGGCATTTTTTGCACAGACGTTCGCACGGAATGCTTGTAACAACCCAAAATTTCATTTTATAAATCCAGTATTAAGAAATTCCAAAGTAGCTTTTTCACCCCATTAAAAATTTTTGCGATCAATCGGTGTTTGAATAAAATAATTTTGTTCCGTTTTAAAATTAATTCGACACTGAAGAAGTGAATTTCATTCGAAAATTCCAGAGTTTTCGGGTACTTCGCGTACCAAGTTTTAAATCGAGAATTTTAACCGAGTGAGACCGGGAGAATTCAAAAGGGAATTTTGAACAAGTGTTCATCCATATAGCTTTTGGGAAAATTCATTTTCCACCCCAAAGTAATAAAGAAATACCATTTCAACCTATGGTTCATGATACATGGTGGACCACAAGACATCCAAAAATCCCTTATAAAATCATCTTTTAGCTTGGGGAAATTACCCCTTTGCCCTCAACCAATCATTGTGAATCATCCTAGGGTTTTGAACCCTATATAAACCCTTCATTCCATCTCATTTTCCTGATCTCACTCTTTGCCTCTTCCTCACATTTTTGTCTGCCAACATCAAAGGAGAGAAACATCAACCTAGTAAGCTTGCTCATCCTTCATTCTAGTATCTTTTCTCTTCTAGTTTCTTTAGTCTTTGAGGTTCTAGCCTAAGGATAGAAGGTGTGTTGGGAAGTGTAGGTGGTGAAGGAGGCTCAAGCTAGGCCAAGAGGAAGAAGAGATCTAAGCAAGAAGACTAGACTACAAGAGGTATAACCCCATGGATTCCTCTTTAGATTTGGCTCTGTGAAGCTTAGTTTTGAGTAGAAATGAGTAGAAACTATGAGTTTTTGATGTGTTTATGCTTGGAAGTGATCTAGTATGTGTTTGTGCGTTGTTGAGATTGTTTTGGATATGTTTGGATGAGTTTTTGCAGGTAAAATACCATCTGGTGCATAACACAGTGTGCACCAGATCAGAGTGGCGGCCCTAGCCGCGGCCCATCAGAAGGCAGCCGGTTAGAGCCGTGCCACCACGGGACTAGGGCACGACCCTAGAAGAGGGACGTAGCCTAGTCCCGGCACATCAACGGGGCTCCAGGGGCGGACTATGGAGAGTCCTGCCCCAGGTCCCTGAGTATTGTTCTGATGAGATTTTTGTGCAGTGGCCGGGCCCTTGTGGCTCAGCTATGTGTCGTTTCGGACCGAGTGTTACGGGCCCTTGTGGCTTGGCTCTTCGGGCTCGTCTCGACGCTCGTTTTGGTTTTGATTTCGTGGAATTTGGATTAAAAAGAAGTATGTTAAGTAGGGATGGCAATTCCAATCCGACCCGTGGATATCCACCCGAATCCACCCCGCATGGATTGGGTTTTTTTGGGTGATGGTGGGTGGTTGGTCGGGGGTGGGTCTTAAAAAAGCAAACCCACGGTAGGTCGGGTTGGATTCGGGTTCTATGTACAAGACCCGCCTAGAACCCACCCGACCCACCATGTGTGTGTGTGTGTGTCTATATATATATATATATATATATATATATATATATATATATATATATATATATATATATATATATATATATATATATATATATATATATATATATATATATATATAATAGTAAAATAAGTACTAGTATGTAGTTATTTATAAAAGTTTATATAACTTCGTGTATCTTTTTACTATTTTTTATATCAAAACTACTAAGTTTATTTTTAAAAATTAACAATTTAGTTATTATATTTAAATATTTCCATTATTTATGTTTTAGTATCACTAATGGATTTTATTTTTTTATTATGTGTAAATAATTTAATTTTTATTTTTTGAAAAACATAATAAGATGATAAGTGGTGGGTACCCGTAGTGAGCACCCGCACCCGGTGGGGGTGGGGGTGGGTTCTGAAAAAGTCCACCCGATGCGGGTTGGAGGTGAGGGTGGGTGGAGAAAATATAAGGTGGGTCGGGTGATGGATGTAGCCCTCCCCGACCCACACTCGACCCATTGCCATCCTTATTGTTAAGAAGGATTTTGTGAAGAAATGTTACACAGTGCATATTTTGCTAAGTCCTCTGTGTTTGAAAAATTATTGATTATTGTGATCAGATAATGGTTTATTGAGTATATAAGCATGATCCTGTGAGAATATGATTTATTATGAAAGCATGATTAAATTGTATTATTTGATCAATGAGAATAGAAGCATACTTGTTGAGTGAAATGTATAGAAATTGCTATTTTGCAAACCGAGCATGTTGTTATATTTTTGAATACTTCATGTTAGTGTATACATGATTTAGAAGCATGTTATATAGCATTTTGACATTTCACATGAGTCATATTTCAAAGATGCATAAAGGGCCAACGTGAGTCCAAGAATACTTTCAAAAACCATGAGCATGTGGTATAACATTCTTTGATGCATTGAGAAATAATAGAATTGTTGCATGCATGAGAGATATATATTTATGTATTATCAATATCGGTGAGGTTTTGGAGGATACCGTTT